TATTAATTTTTCTTTGTTTTCCTCTGTATACCAAAAATAGAATACTCATTAGAAGATTGAATATTTATTTTGAACGAATAGGAAAAAAAATCATTGTTATTATTAAAAATAAATGTGATATTTTTTACTTTTTAAGGATTCTAAAAGATCGCATCCAAATAAAAATTATGTATGGTTTAAAATACTACTTAACGCAATATATTTATTTAAATTTCAAATTTATTATAAATTTTAAATTTAGTCCGTAATATGACAATAATATTAATTTGGTCTATTTATCAAAATATTTATATATATGTGACTGTTCGAAGTTTCTTCTTTTGGAAAAATTAGGAAATAAAAAATATTAATGATCAATATTAATTATTAACAATAATTTTAAAGTTTCAGAAAAATTTTAAAAAATTACCAGATAAATTAGAATTATTTATATTTTAATTATTATTTGACTCAATAAATTTAACATTATTTTCCAATTAAATATAAAATAATAACGTCAATTTTGTTAATCTATCAAAATAATTATTTACATATTACCAATTTTTTTTGAAAAAATATAAAAGAAAAATAAATCATAAATTATAATTAAAAGAAAAAATAATAAATTTGATGTTCTTGAATATCTAAAAATTTTAAAGTATCACCACATAAAATCTCTTACGTTGATAATTATTATTTTACTGAATAAATACAATAATAAAATAATACTTTAATTTAATGTAATTTATGTGATTTGAGAAGATGGGGATGAAAAAATAAGTAAAATTTAAGATGAACCGTAATGATTCTTCCACATTGCATACCCCATGCGAGAAAAATTTCTTAGGTACAACAGTTGTATCCATTTGGGTATATATTTTTTTCTAAAAATGAAAAAATTTCTCTACTTTAAATTCACCTTATAATTTATATTTTCATCTTTTTTTCAAAAAATTTCCTTTTTTGGGCAGATTTACCTACATCCCCACCCAAAATTCACTCCCATGGAAGCAATTCCATTGGGCCCATGAGGGGATTTGATCCCACTATTATACTCGGAAAAGTGACCATTTTGTCACACTTGGCAAAAAAAATTACCAGACTGCCACGCCAACAGTAAATTTTGTCAAAATACCACGCTGCACCCTTAGCCGTCGTTGAAGAAGTTTGAAAATATAACTAATTCGCATTATCTTATCTTAACTCTTAATTATTTTCAGACTTCTTCAACGACGGCTAAGGGTGCAGCGTGACATTTTGGCAAAATTTACTATTGGCGTGGCAGTTTGGTAAATTTGTTTGCCAAGTGTGGCAAAATGGTCACTCTTCCATTATACTCGGAAGCATGGTAGTTAAAATTCCGATTTAAATTTGTGATTTTACGATTTTATAATTTTGTTTTTAATCAAAACGATTTCATCAAAATTCCAAACGCTTATACGCTTTTACGATTTTTTACGATTTTTTTTTATGTTAAGATTTTACGTTTTACAATTTTTTATTCTCCTTCCGATTTTAAGTAGAATCCTGATTTTAACTACCATGCTCGGAAGGACTCATCAAGCTCTCTCACATGGCAAATTGATTCTACAAATGGGGTTAGCGAGATGAGAGCATTTTTGATACTACTGTTAGGTGGTGTTTGATTGGGAGCTTTTCAGCCGATATCTATGTTTCTCAAGTATGGCTTTTAGAAACACCATGTTTGTTTCAACGTATTTTCACCAAAAACCCATCTATCCAATTTGTATGGAATTATGATAAACATAGATATCCGCACTGTTTAGAAACCCAATTTGAAGGTGAGATTTTTCGGAAAACCGATTATCTGGCTTTTAATACACTGTTGATTTCATAAGTTACCTAATTTTTCCAGTAAAGTTTTTTCCCGCCAAACAACTTTTTTTTACATTTTTCTACCTATCTCACTTTATCTATCTTTCCAATCATTTCTCTATCTATTACATTTTCCTACTATTCCAAAAAAATTTCCTCAACCAAACACCCCCTTAAATAAGACGATCATATTTGTATTATATATTTTTGGGAATACATAGTGCGACAATTTTTAAGAAGAAAAAAAAATGAACTTATGATTAGTATATTAATTTTTTCCTAGCGAGATTGAAGCACGACATATTGAAATATGGGATAGGATCCGTTTAAAAACTTCTTTTGTAAATTACACTAAGTACGACCGGTCGTACACTGCATGATTAAAATATGACTGGTCGTACTTAGTGTAGTTTGTAAGAGTTTGTAAACAAAAAAGTTTGTAAATATAACATGTCCCTTAAAATATAGTTTGAAAAATGTGGCACATCCATAACCGTGCCCATATTTTTACATTAGAATTATTCCTTTTCATTAAAGCTGAAAATCTTGAATTGAATTATATTTCGGGGAGTATTCAAATCATTATTAGATTTCAACATGCAATGAAATTGAATTACTTGCCAAATAAAACATGATGATATGAAGATATAATGTATGTTGTTATAGTAGAGTTGTTCCTTTTAATTGAAGGTGAGAATCCCGAATTGAATTATGTTTATGAAATCAAATCATATTGGATTTCAACATGTAATGAAGAAATTATTTGTCATATTAAACATAGTGATATAAAATATAATATATGCTGTTATAATTAAACTATTCCTTATTGAAGGTGAAAATCTCAAAATTGAATTATATTTGGGGAATCAGATCATTATTTGATTTCAACATGCAAAGAAGAAATAACTTGCCATATAAAACATGATGATATAAAGATATAATGGATGTTGTTATTGTAGAATCATTCCTTTTCATTGACGCTGATAATCTTGAATTGAATTATGTTTATGGAATCATTACTTTCCTGGTGTGTACTTCAAGTACTTATAAATAAGCTCCTCTGTTTTTTGATGAAAATGGCACTGTGAAGTTGAAGGAGAAGGACAAAAGGGACCAGACAAAACTTGTGTCATGGAATCATTTGCAATGAAATCGCCACAAGGGCACTCATCACATGATACAAAGGAGAATCTCGGCATCGTGAAAAGGTCAATATCTCTCGTATGTTTTTTAATTTTTGGAACATTATGTTTGCAGGTTTTCTTTCATGAATTTTTTTGCACCTTGGTTTATATATGATTATCCTTGCCAAGATGACGATTTGAAAATTTCAAAGTCGTCAGATAATTTCATTACCCACTTATCTCTAATAACTTTTCATGTCATCTATTTGACTTCACCATTTTTATTTTTATTTTAAAAAAAATTAAGCCAATTTTTTTTTAGTTCAATGTGTTTTTATTATTGCATTTTGGTGCGTTTTTGTGTTATCAAAACATAATCGATATGTGGGTTTTATATTCTTTTCTTTTCATTGTATTTGTTATATATGTGGAACTAGTAATGTATATAGAATTTTTAGATCTAACGTGGGTAGGTTTGTGGATGAATATGTTTAGTGTTTACCACTAAATAAATGGATTAATTAATAAGAAATTATTACATTTAATTAGTAATTTCAAGTTCGAGTCATCGAAAACTGGAAACATAAAGTTGTGTTAAAATTTGGTATAAATAACTTTGTCGTCCTATAATTTTACCCAACTCAATCAAATTAATTGAATAATCGATGAACTGGTAAGGAATATAGAATATCCAACAAAATTATTTATATGTACTAAAGAAATACATATTTATTAATAACTTCTCACATTCACATTGTTTAACATATTTTTTTATATTTAAAGTCATATGCATAATTCATACTAAACTTAATTTTAAGAGTATGGCTCCTTTAGTTTTTTTTTAATATATTTATCAGTTCATCATTTATCCGACTAATTCGGTTGGAATGGATCTACATAGAATTGCATATTAGAGGATAAAGTATGAAGTTAAAAACTTATATTAAAAAATTAACAATTGAAAGTGCAATAAAATACAAATAAATGTAGAACGAATTATATAGTTGTTAAAATTTATTACTTTTAATTATCAATCAACAGTTATCATTCCGAATTTTACTTACTACACCCTTCATTTTTTGAAGTGTCAAATCCTAATTTTAATGTCTTTTCATTCAATTACCTGAACAGGAAAATATTTACAAGGTAATAATGAAGCCAAAATGATATATTTGCTTAAATCACTTCACTAGCATTCGTTTCAGGCTTTCAATAATTAACCATAGTTAATTAAAACATTTCAGTAAAATAATTCAAATTGGTTAACTGTAATTTTTGTTTGTAGAATTTCATAAAGATAAATAAAAACAATAATAATAAAATATGAAAGATATAATATTATATATGATTAAATACATTACAAGGTTAAAAAGTAACAGAAAAAGAAGACACATAAGTGAACTTTTTAGGGAATAATGATGTTGAGTCAAAAGCTGACTATTACACATTTATTATATATTCGTTAAATCTCGAGAAATCAGATTATTCTTGAATCTGATTCTACTCGGTAACCACATCTTTATATAACTGCAAACTTGGTCAATTCTCACACTCATTTTCTTTCTCTCACTCTCTGCTTTCTCTGCTTGAAAGAAGGGGAAAAGGTAACTGCGTTCTAGTACACAGACCAATCACTTTCCAGGGTATGCTCTAGTCTCAATGTTTCTCATTCTTTTATTTATGTTTGCGAGAAAGTTCTTGTTTTCTTGTTTAAAAAAATAAAATAAAATTTATCACTACATGCATGGTGTTGTTACTACCTAGCAGGCCTGCATTATATTAACTTTATATTATAAGATAACAATATGAATATTTTATGTGACATTAAGATTTATATGTTGGGATAACAGCAACTTGTGTGATAGGCCGGCAGAGAGACAAAGATCTCTGCTGTGTTTTTCCCATGTTATATAATGTTTTGAATCATAGTAGATCGCTTAACTAACAAAAGGGGTTGTTTGTGTTGTGCCTCAAAAGAAGAGTAATTGTTTGTGTTGAGAGGGTGTTGGTGTTTATTGCAGCAAAAGAAACAACAACAAGAACAAACAAAGAAAAATAAGAATGGAAGCAAAAGGTGGAGAAGTGAGAAGACTTCACATCATCTATTTCCTTAGTCATATGGGTGGTCATGCAGATCAACCCCATCTCATTCGTGTTCTTCATCTAGCTCGAAATGGGGTTTATCTTAGAGGTAGTTATATATGTTCTAAACTTCAATTCCATTCTTCTTTCTGATATCCTTAATTTTATTCATAAATGTGCTATGATGAATATGTGACTCTATTATTTGAGTCTAATGACACTTTTTTTCTTCTTCTTTTCTTTTGTTTGTTGAGAAGATGTTAAGAGATGGCTTGGGGATTTGAGAGGAAAAGACATGCCTGAAGCTTTTGCTTGGTCCTACAAGAGGTTGAATCAAAATCCTTCTAATCCTTTGCTTTGGTCCATTTCTCTATCTCATTATTTTTAGCCTTTTCATTTTTACTATATGTGTATGCATAATGAATTTGTAACTAACATTCATTCAATGGCAGGAGGTACAAGACTGGATTTGTGTGGCAAGATTTGTTGGATGATGACCTTATAACCCCCGTTTCTGACAATGAATACGTCCTCAAAGGATCACAAATCCACCCTTCCCCATTTGGTATGTACTTGTAGATATTCACTTCTCTCACTTTTATTACTCGCATCAATGGACATAGTATGGCCACCCATAATTTCCATCCATGGACATTAGCAAATTATGTAGACTTTTCTAAGAATGATAAAAGATTCATTTAAGTTGTTAAACCTTTTTGGATTATGCAGAAACTCCTTCACTTGATGAAAAGAAAACTGTTAGTGATATAATGGCTGAGAAGGAATCCCCTCAAGCACAAGTTGTAGAGGACAAACAACAGCAACAGCAACAACCATCTCCATCAGAAGAAGAACCTCAAATTCAAAGGAATCCTGATTCAAAAACGGATACTCCAACAAAAGGGTCATCAGAAATCAGCCAGGATTCGTTAGTCTTCAGCTCAGAAAGGTCATCTGTGACAGATGATTACTCTTCTAAAGTTGAAGAAGAGAAGCTTTTGGGGACAGGCAAAGAGTGTTTCAATGAACAGAACCATCACGAGAAGAAGTTAGAGAACTGCTCATTGCCTTCCTTGTATCACAATCTGTTGAGTAAGAAGGGTAACAAAATTGACCAGAATAAAACTAGTACACCTGATTCATCATTTTCTACTACATCATCATCGTCATCATCATCTCAATCCTCCTTTGCTAAGATCAGAAGCAATTCTACTAGAGTTTCTAAGGTGTTCCGCAATTGGATTTCTTGTGGCAATGTGGAAACAAATGATGCAGCCTTAGTCCTGATGAATGGGGCTCAGAAAAATGTCTTTAAGGATCCTAACAACATACCAGACAATAAGGCTGTGATTTGTAAAGGGGACAAATTGGGAGGATCAGCAAGGTGTTCTGGGACATCTTGGATTCATCATCATCAACAGTCACAGAAACAACAATATGGCTCCAGGTGAGGAGTTATATCATATATTGAGCTAAGAATATTCTATATTATGATTATTTTAAGTAAAAAGTTACTTCTTGTGACCGGAAAGTCACGAATTCAGAGTCTAAGAAACACCATCTTTACAAAAAATGTAAGGGTAAGCTTTGTGCATCGGAGTTTGCCCTTTTTTTTTTGAAGTAAAAATATAAACTATTTGGTAGGATGTTTTTAAGTGTTTTTTTTTTTTTTCTTGCAGAAAAAGCTTTGATGGAGAGGAAACAAACAGGAGCAGGAAAACTTTAGGCGAGTTCATGAATATTCAAAAACCTTACAAACCATTTGGTGGACCAACTTGCTCGTAAGTGACTGAACAATGTCACCTGTGTTTAATATCAATTGTTAGCATTTCAACAATGAAATGAAAGGATGTGCATGAAAAATTATGGTCATATTGCTGGATGATATTTTAGCACACAGGTTGAAGATCAATAGTATACAGTATTAGGACTCAGCTTAAAGGAGGTGTATGGTGAACCAGTAGGCAACACTTGAGTCGTTTATTAGTTTACAAAGTATAAACAAAATCAAAATATATGACGAGTGGCAAAAGTTTTATGACAAAAAGACCTCAATTCAGCTGGTTGGAATATTAGATAGTCAAAATTCAAAACTTTGATTTTCTTGTAACAAGAATATAAAGTATCAAAACTTGGTATTTATTAGCAGATTGTGATGTTTACCAACTTTTGGCTGCAGAGGCTATTGTTAAAACTTAAGACCTGATTTTCTAGTAACTTAATTCAATTTTGTCTATTTTAGCATAGTTTGAGCTACATAATTCATGCCATACATTTCGAGACACTCTTTAATTTGGCTTAGACGGATAGATCACTTTGTCCAAATTTTAAATATTTTTATCATTTTGTCCCAATTTTCAAATTATATGTCAATATGTCTGTGTTTGACCAACATTTAATCAAGTAAATGATTAATTTTAAAATGGACAAAATGATCAATTATCCCTTTGATTTGTGATCATGAAAGATGAGACCATAAATAGGACTTAATGATGCAGGCAATGTGGAAAGACATTCAAGCCTGAGAAAATGCACAAACATATGAAGTCCTGTAAAGGAATAAGAAGCGTGGGAACTTCAGCTGCAACTGCTGAGAAGACACAGCTCCAGAAATCACCAACTTCCACCTGTGAAGATCACCTTTTGACCAACTAAATATGAATTCCTTTCAGTGAATGCATGCTTCACAGCTGAAGAAGCATTTGGTTTATAAGTTTAGGTGTGGCTTCTCAGTTGGTCTTGTCCATATAAAGACATTCATTCAATCATAGAGCTTCTTGATTTCTCTACGCATAGTATCCCTTGGCATTGTTTGCTCTTAAGCCATAAACGTTAGTAGCTATACGTTACCAAAATATTGCTAAGGGTCACCAACTTTTCTGCATAAACTACTACAAAGCAAGGATCAACAATTTATAGCCAATTAATTGCAAGAAAGACAATCGTTTCACACAACAGCTGGACCTGTCTGCACCTTAATTAAGAATGCAAGATTGTTGAACTATGATATCTCCAAGGTTAACTAGACATTGTTTCCAAGCAAATGATCAAAATGATAATCCAAAATGAATTTTGATATAAATTTAGAGTAATAATGACATAGGCATATCCAAAGAATACAGCTTAAAATTGTATAATCATGGGCATAACTTTGTTCATTGACAAAGTTAGATTAAAGTATACAGCAAAGTGTAAGATCCTTAAGTGGTTATACCAAAATCAAAACTAGCTATTTGAATATTGACTGGTAACATACCACTGTCAGTTGTTCTAAGCAGAGTCAGTTGAGAAGAGTATACTCCATTTTGTCATTTCTGTTAGTTCTTCTAGTACTATATTTACTGACGAGAAGCAACGGCAGAATTAACATGATCAAGTAGAAACCGAAACAAACTTTTCCTTAGGCTCTCTACCCTATGATCAACCTTATCTCCAACAACCAAATTATCTAACCAGTGATTCACCTTTTTGAGCTGTCCAAGAAGACATGCAATTTCAGTGTTCCCTTCTTCACTTTTCAACCCAAATTCATTACTTAGAGATTCCTCCAAGTACCTCAGGAACCATTCGCGAGAAGCCACGCGCAGTTTTTCTGCCAAACTCGCTGCCACTCTTAATTCACTTTCTTTAGATTGATCCTGCTTGTCAGTATCCTTGTTCTTGGTTACTAAGAGATTCCGCTTTGAAGAAGGAAGCCTTTTTTTAGCAGCTGAATTTGGCAAAAGAGCTGCTTGAATAACGCAATTTTGCTTGTTTTGAGCAGAGAAATCCTCAGTATTCATTTCCTCATTGTTAATGACAACAAAATGACATTTCTCACCATCTACAACCTCACTTTTAGCTTGTGTTCTGAAAAGATTGAACTTGGAAAGATTGGTATCGATGGCAGCTTGTACCCAAGACATAGCATTCTTGCGAGTGGGAACTGTACATGAATCTTCTACCAGACACTGTAGGGTAGAGTGGCTGCTTGGCTTTGTTCCAGGTGGGGCAAGTAAGGAATCAAACACTATTGTTGCTCTCTGCAAACTCAGATGAAGCTCCAGAAACTGCTTCACCAGTAATCCAGCAGAAAGTGTCTGACAAGACTGGCAAAGTTCGGCAAACATGCTGAAAGAGAGTACTTATTAGTTATCTTATTGTAATTATGGACCATAGGAAGGACTTCATATTGACCAAAAAGAGAAAAAAATCAAAAAAAGTTAGTACGCAACTAAGAAATTTCCTTCCAATTTGAAATATCTACAAGTGACAATGATGAGATGATGTGATTGAATAATGAATAGTCAATAGGTTTTCCCTTGACTTGAGATACTCTTCTCTTATTCCATTTAATGATAGTAAGATATCTCTAGTACACTGACAAACTACCCGAATATTTTCAAAAATCAGTGATAGAGTTAAAGACCACAAGTGTATTAGAATCACATACAGTTAATTAGGACAAGAGCTTACAGAAGTTGAGGGTACTATAAATTTGACGCATCTGATTGTCAGGATTTGTTTTATCAACAATCAATATTTAAGGGGAAATATGCTATAATCTAAATAAGCCCAAACTAAAGAAAAAAGTAACAAATTTAAGAACTCAGAAATATGAATCAAAGTCATGAACCACATAAACAATACCCAGCATTTGTGCAACTATACTCCAAAAGTATCTGTGATTCTTGGCTATGATTAGCAAGTCTATCCTTGAGGTGAATTGAAATAAGATAAAAAAAAAATCAATGTTACAAGCCAAGAGTATTACACATAAAAGAGATCTCGGTTCAGCCAAAGGAGGTTGGTGAGCAAGAGCTTAAGGTGAGATATTTGTTAGGTGTGAGAAGCATGAATTTTCTACCGAGAGAAATGACATTAAAGGATAAAATGGCATAAGGAGTTATGGTCAAGGATATGAATCCCACTTATTAAAAGAGGTACTGGTTCAAGACCCAGGAGTAGAAGTATTTCATAAGGAATCCTCTGATGATACAATATTGGTGTAGGACTGTAGGTAATCCGTAGTGAGCATTTCATTAGGAATACTCACTTACGGATGAATTTCCACTGATGACACAAACTGAAAACTTAACATCATGTGCAAAACCTAAACTCCAAACAGCCTTTCGCGTTGGTTAAAGCCTATATCCAACTTTTTGCTTCTCACTCAAGTAGAGTTAACCCCAAAAATAAAATGCAGTATCCCAAACAAATTAAGGCTAGCCCCATTAACTAAACTTTCCAGTTATTTTTCCTGGAATGCTTCATTGTTGACACAAATGGACCCAATGTAAATAACACAGAATCATTCTTTATTCCTGTATTTCAATAACATGCATCTGTTACAAGAAGATGGACAGAAAAAGGAAGCATGAGAATTATATAAATAAAAAAAAATACCACATGCTTTGGATCACAGTATCTGTAGCAGATGCTTCTTCAAGAGACCGCACAGCCGCCAAAAATGCAACATTTCTGTGTGTTACAACTTGCTGGAAAATGACGAGAATGGAATTAAAAATTGGTATGAGATGAAGACATGGAACTTCAAAAATTGCAATGTACCATACCTTTCCAAGATTACACATGGGAGGTGGGAGATCTTTCCAAGAAGCAAACGTATCATACCAAGTCTTGAAATTGAGGGGCACCTTAACAAGTTGGCTAGGAACAGTGCCAGCACATGGGGACTTAACTGTACTTTTCCTCGGAGGTGTGCTTGTCAATTTTGGACACAAGTTCTCGTTTTTATTCTTCAATGGTGAGACACTTGAAGTTGGAGATTTAAGTGGAGAATCAGTTTTAAGAGAAATCTTCTTCTCTATCACCTACAACATGTTCATAAAAGTTACACAAAAAATCAACCTTTTGTCTTGCACAATATCATTAATTCATGGATATTGACCTCTTACATTCATGGAACTCATTTAGATAATTTCTTATCAAAATATCAACATTTAACAACATTTCAAATATTGAAAAAAGATACTGTTAGCCGGGTCCAACAGACATAAAAGTAGTTTAATAGCAATAATTGAAAAAAAAAAAAAAAAAAAAGAAGAGAGAGAGCCCCTTCATTCAACATTAACATTATCTAAAACAGTGCTTTCCACTACAAATTATTTTTAAAAAGGAGGTATAGAAAAAAGACCGCAACTAAGATACCCAAAAGTGAATTTTTAAGTAAAAGCAAACCCATTTTCTCTCAAGGAAACCACTACTCAAAGAGAGACACAACCGTGTAAATGAAAAGTACTCAAAGAGAGACAAACATGTAAATGAAAAGAAAAGAAAGCAAAAAGGTAACACAACGAAAAAAAAATATGCAGAGAAGGGTACACATAACACACTTTAGGTGAAGTAGAGGTAGATTTCAACTTGGATCTTAAACCAGAACTCACAGAAGAAGAACCACGTTTAGCAGCAACGGGAGTACCATGATCCCAAACCCTTCTAGCAGAATCTAAACTCAACCTCCTCATTTCCAAACCCTCCTCCACAACACGGTTCCCCTTAGAAGGTGGTGAGCCTCTCTTCAAATCATCCCTCTTCTTCAAACCACTACTACTACTACCATTGTTACTGCTAGTGCTAGTGCTAGTTTTAGTGTTACTCTTGTTATTTCCCTTCTTGGGTCTTGTGAAATGAACGTTTGAAGTTGTTGTAGCAACGTGCAATGAGTCACCGGAAACCAAGTCAATGGGGTTCCCAATGCAGGGTCTTCTCTTGGGTAGAGGGTTCAAACCGCGAACCACAGGAACAGGTGAAGCTGAGTCGAGGCGAGTCACGTAAACGAACTGACCGAGTTGGAGCTTGTCGACACAGATCAACTCGGTGTCCTCGTCGGAGACTGACACGTAAGCAGAGTGCAAGGAATCGGAGAGTTTAAGGAAGTAGCCCCTGCTCTGCCACGGCTCCTCCGACAAACGCGGCACGATCTCCGTCACCTGAAGCAGCGCGTGACGGTGCTCGCCGGTTACCTTGTTTCCCGCGTTTTCTAGAAGCTTCGAGAGCACGCCAGGGGTCAAGGACGCCATGGCAGTGCAGAGTGCTCCGTTTCTTATGGCTATGTTTTAATCTATGTTGCTGTGTGGACTGTGGTAATAAGAAAAGAAAAAAATGAGAATGAGAAATAATAACCCACAACGTGCCACTGTGTGTGTTATCTCGTGTCTGTTTTTAACGTTTGATTACAAATCAATTGATTGCATAAAATTTTAATAACCGTTGATTTGTCATTACGAGCTGATGTTGAAATTCAAAAATTGAAGATATAAGAAAATGTTATTGGTAAGACATTCTGGAAAATATATTTTGCATATTACTGGTTAAATATGTCTTATACATTTTAGTAAAATACACCTTAACACTTATATTTGTTATTATTTTAATTTTATTACTCTTAATCAATAGTTAAAAAAAGAAAGAAACTAATTACTGTTAATTTTAAATTAATCCAACATAACCAAACAGGTAACAAAAATAATAAAATTAAAATAATAGTAAATATAATCTTTTCCGATATTATTGTCTAAAAATTTAAGAAAATAAGTAATAAAAATCGTTTATTATTTTATCCTATTTTTCAATTTATTTACTAATTTATCTTATTCTGGCCAAAATTGATCACTTTTGATCAGTGAATCACATAAATATTATGAGTATAATTATCATATAATTGATAAGTATTATGTATATAGATATTGAAAGTAATTAATTTTATCAAGACTTAGTACATTTAGTGGCAATTTATTTAGATTCTAAAATTTGATCTGTCAAATAAATAATAGGGGTTTGAGAGTTATAATTTCTAGAAAGGATAAAAAAAAACTCAAATTCAAAAATGAATTAATCAGATTTATTAGGATTTTAAACAATTAATATTTATAAAAATAAATTACTTTGATAAAAAAAATATAGATTAATAAATATTTTAAAAATACAATAAATTGATAAACAATTTGTAAAATAAGAATATGGTTGTTAAACGAGCCACATCTCTTTTATATTTTGCGTGTGCATGTGCTAACTATGTGAAAAAAGATGGTTATTGGTTAAAGAGAGAGAGAGAGGAGTGTGTTGTCGAATCTCAAAGTGACGTGGGGGAAGGTGCAGGTTATGGCAGGGAGCATACAGTTGGCAAATGTATCAGTATGGAGATGTCATTTTTTTGAGATTTGCACAGAGAGAGAGAGGAGAGAGAAAAGTGAGTTTGGTAGAGTATAGTGGATAGAAGAGGTTGGAGGGTTCAGGTTCCTAGGTTAATCCTACAAAGCTAGTAACGACAAGATTTATCCGTGCAACGAAACGAGTACAAAAATAAGAAAAAGAGAGAGCCGTATTTAATGAAGAATAATTAATGTTGTTTCTTGCTAGGTGAACAAGAGAACTGAATGTGCACAAGGGTCTTGTTTCTTTTGTGGGTCTCACAAACTCAACTGAACTCAGCCAGTGTGCTATGGGGAAAACCATTATTTGTTTTGGTATTCACGTTTTGCGAGGATTGCCAAACGCGCCTGGGCGTGAAATTATTAATAATGTTGCTTTTTCACTTACTTCCTTAATTCTCATAAAAAAAAAATTATATTGATTTTAATTATTTTTTTAGGTTTCTATGAACTTCAACTCCTTGAATTTATTATGAAATTAATTTCGAATAATATTTTAGTCACAGCTAAAATTCATTTTCCTTACTCAAAGATATATTTAGTAAAATTTAAATTCAGATTCTTTCTCTATTTTACTAAGCCTGTACTGTTAACTAAACTGTATTAGTTAAATAATTCTTCTTAATTTTATACTCCCTGACAATTTATATTGAAAGAAGATTTCATTTAACGTAAAAAGGAAAAAATTTAATTAAATATTTAAATATTTTATCAAATAATATCATGAGATTAATACAGGAGATGCGTGTTCAAGTCACATAGGAGAACTTACATGTTATCCTAATCCGCGACTTGAACATGTTGTTAGTGCCAATGAGTGGAAAACAGTAAATGAAGAATACAAAAGAAAGAACCTGGGTAGATGAATCCAAAGTAGAAATAGAAACAAAAGAAGAACATCTTACAGAGGAGCAATAAAGTGAATGTCAAGGAATGCAGAAAATCCAAGCCCGACTAAAGTTGTTCCCTTAAAAGTGAATTTGTCCTCTTTATCGGTGTTGAAGAACAGTGGACAATCACCACCTAAGGTAGAACAAATTCGTATCAAGAACGGTGACACTATTGATCAAGAGCCTTGATGACACAGTCGAATGCTTAGAAAGATCGCACAAGAGATGGAAGAATATAAAATAACTTTGATAGGCCAATATGGAATCAGAAAATTGAGTTGATTTTCTGAAGCTATTGGTCCAATTTATAGACAATGGACGATCGTGGAAAACGGTCACGTCCAATCAATTCAGAAAAGACGAAAAATTACAATGGTTTGAGGGGTATTTTGAACAAAAAAATAAAATCGTTTTAAATAAAAAGTTATTTCTCACCCACACAATGGCTGGTATGACAAAGGCGACGGGCATGTGTGGAGAACCACGCATCACTTACGTCGTCCTCTCTTTTTACAAAAATAAGATGCTCCAAAGGGCAATTATGGGGAGAGAGGCTAGGCCTTATAAAGCCTTCTCCCCCTCCCTTTTCCTCCCATGTGGTACTTTTTCTTTTTCTTTTTTTGATAAATTGTATGTATCTTCCACGAGAAGTAATTTTGTTCTAGCCAAGAACATCTACATTATAATAGAGCTAGATCTCCTTAAGGAATTTTTTGCATTCATAAGAATTTGAACTCAAAACCTTTTATAAGCGGAATTAAACATTTATCACTTCAACCAACCATCTTTCGTTATGCAATACTCCTTAAAACCCCTCATTTCCTACATCCCCTTCATTTCCTTTATTTCCTAATTCTTAATCATCATCCATGGAAACATCCATGAATTCTTACACATGTATACCTTCATGCATAACTTATAACACCTGTCACGTGTCAAGTGTGCCTTTTTCCATGTACAAATCGTATATCTCTTTTATGTGCAATTTGAACGTACACATCCTCATATATGGAAATTAATTCTCTGGGCTCCCTCTTTCTCCTCTCTCCTCTCTCCTCTCTCCTCTCTAGGGGTTCATTGGTCCCGGGGCACTATATATTTGCTGATTTTAAATCAAACCGATAAAACTTCAGCTTTATATATCACTGGAATCAAGAGGCCTCGAATATTTGATCTATCGTTCTGCCGATTATTTAGTTTGATTTTTATTAAAGAATGAACAAAATTACCGTGGCGGTGGATGAATTTGGGTAAGGGTACCTCAAAATGTGTATTCAGAAATCATAAATGAAGAGAGAGTGTACCTTAATTGTACATGATTTTTATTAAGGGGAAATTCTCAACTTAGTCTTCGAAAGAAGACCATGATATTAACATACAGGTTTTGAAAAAGATTATTGTTACTAATTAAGTTCATGAAAAATTCAAAATGTTACTGTTATGGACCTGACAAAGGCCTACATTCTAGAAGGCCCTAATAGGGCTAACAGCTAAGAGGGAATTAAGGAAATATTCCTTAATCATGCTAATCCCATTACGGCAACAATGGATCAACAATTGGACCCCCAATGCTCCTGAGAAGCCCAAAAGTCCACTCCTGCCAGGTAGCCCATCTATAAATAAGGGATTAAACCAATAAGGTACACACACTCTAAATCCTCTCTCTTAGCTTGTCACTGTGCACACACCTAACGCCTTGACTATGTCATTATATTATAGTGCACAGTGATTCGCTTATCTTTAGGGTACCTCTCCTATAGGTACCTGAGAGAGGGCAAACAGATCCAATATTAAATTACCAATCTCTGATTGGACATTCACGATCTATCAGATCGTAACATTGGCACCGTCTGTGGGGATAACGATAAATTTCAATTCTCACCCAATAATGGTGAAGGCTCAAAAGCCGCTGACGTAACCAAATCCTAATACGATGAGCGCAAAGTGCAAAAATAAACTCAGCAACTGTTCAAGGCCGATTAGAGTTCGCAATTGCTTCAGCAAGCATGACGAAGTCGAGATCGAAATTGTGACCACTACCGTTGTCGGGATCATGACCGAGTTCAAGACCGAGAACGTGGCCGAGATCGAGACTACGACAAAAATATAAATTTTGATGCTATTGGATCCTGAAAGCACGAAGTGCACAACAATGCGAAAAGTTTATCACTCCAGCCCCGTGTGGCTGTGGCTTCAATGAGAAGATTTTGCTCTCAGAATCTGATCATGCCCGCCAAAAAGCTAAGCATCCTTGATCTTAGCATATTATTCAAAATATTTGATATTATCCTACTTTTCAATTTTTTTAATATTGCACTATTGATTAAATTGAATGCTTTGGGAGTAATCTGTAGACAAATAAAAGATTTGTCTTGATTGGCATATTGTATTTATTACAGCCTTTGATTAATACCTAATTAAATTGAATGCTATGGGAGTAATCTGTAGATTGACATAATGTATTTAATACCGCCTTTGATTAAAACCTGATTAAATTGGATGCTTGGGGAGTAATTTGTACTGGTTAACTATTAATTGTTATTTACAATTATTATCTGTTTACACATGGATAATTACTGATTGTTGATTGAAGCAAAATTATTTCATTCTTTACAACGTTGCATTTATTTTTGCAAAGAATAATCAAATAGGTGGTGTGGAGATCCCCTCTAAAAAAAAAGGAGGAGATCCAGATCCACTCAAATAAAGAAGAAAATCTACCTAGATGAATGCAAGACTTGGGCGGAAGAAACCAAGCTGAAAGAAGAGCCGAGGCACAAGAAGCCGGGATCGAGAAAATGAAAAGACCACGGCAAATGAAGTCGGGTTCAGATAAAATGGCACTGCAAAAGAAGTGGGGCCCAAATTAAAAAGCCATGCAAGAAGAAGAAGCAATGCAATTCAAAGAGGCAAAATGTGTCTCCTGAAATATAAGGCTTCAACAAAAGAAGCCAAGTTAGAATATAGATCGGCCCTCCG